ATGTTCCAATTTCCGACTTTAAGCTCCCACTGGTGGTGTCGTTTTCGTGAAGCCTTTTCTGACGTGCTGTGATGGCATCGCGCTGTCTGCCTCCTCCGTTCAGGACGGGTAGCGACTCCGTTGCTGACTGGTATCTTCGTCGTCGTTCCTTCGGTCTTCGTCAGGCGTTGTTGTGTTGTTATGCCCCCGGTTGGCATAGGGCAACGAGCAGGTTCTGACGCTGACTTTTCGCAGTCTGCCTCAGTCCCCCGACAGCCTGCGCGGCCCTTGGTAACCCGGGCGACGACCGAGCCGGTATAGTTTTTGATGGCGTCAATTCCATGTCAGGTAGGTGGCTGAATTTTACGTAGACTTGCCACGTCTCCAACCCTCCTCCTTTCTCATTCGGGTTTGGGACCGACCATGGCGGAGAAAGCACATTTCTACCAGAATTATTTTAGTAGATCTCGTTGAACTTCGACGGTCAACATCTCGTATCTCCATTATGAATGAAATATTTGATTTTGAGATTGAGGATCATGAACGTTGAAGATTGGCAGAATTTGCGTAATAAAAATCAGATCAGAACGCATCGGAGCTGCCGCATATGGAACTTCTCAGCTGAGGCGTATCAGATCTGTAATTTAGTCTGTCGTGTCATGCAGTTGTATAATTGGGCCGTCAAGGTGATACTGTGAAAGTCCATAGAGTCTTTTGAATTGTGGTAATGAGATTTCAACATCTGCCAATGTGTTATGGCGGCTAAACCCTCAAGCTCCTAAACAAAATTTTGTTGCAGAAGCTGCGGTATTTTGATAATATCACTAAAAAAACAATGGGTTTTGATAAAGTAGTACTCCGGTTTCGACGCCTGGAAGATCAGTAAGACGCTGTAAATATCAGTAAGACGCAACGATGATCAAGGCTTGCGCATAGATCACGGTCAGCAGTCGATTTACGGGGGGCGGATGACACTATCAAATTTTTTTTAGCTGAAATAAGGTTAAAGTTGAATTCATTTCAGCTGCAAGTACAACAGTCAAGGCATTTTTGGCTGTACTTCACTGCAAATTTTCCGTATCAGAGTTTTCATGTTAGTTGTCTGCAGAATACATTATTTTTTGTTTTTATCATTCCTGATCCAAACGGAGATTGAAGACTCTAACCTTTTCCCGTAATTACCCGTGAAATACTAAATGGGATGGTATCAAGGTATGGTATTTCTCCTGAATACTAAGACTAGGAGTTGTATTCTTGGCTGCTGATGAGCTGGAGGACGATACAAAACGTGGAAGGATCATGTTGTGGTGACCGAACATTTACGTGCAAGCGCGAATAGTTCTAAGTCGTTAATCTGAGATATTACTTCAGCTGGATGAGATATCACTAATCTTAGCAATCAAGCATTGTTGGCCTTAGAAAGGGACAACAGCTGCTTGTTCTAGAGTGCTTGTCGACTCAACAACAGATACCGAGACCCTTTGTCTGCTTTTCACTTAAGTGTCTGCAAAGAAGTGTTTTCTATGCAGATATTTTCTGTTTATTAAAAGGTAGTGCAGGGAGACAGTGAGTCATTAATTGCTTAGACTTCTACTGATACTTTCGTGTCCAACCGTTGGAAAGTTTTACCACCTCTTGTTTCTGTGAAGTAGACAGATTATCTGATTGTGATGTGGTGGGTGCGCACGCGTTAAGGGTATCAGAAATTTTTATTAGAGAGTAACTTGGAAGTTGAAAACGTCAGAGCGGTGTAACCATTCGGATTTGTTGAAGTTGTTATACGTTATCGTATAGCGTTAGCTTTGGTTAGACTTAGACTGACTAAAACAGTTGTGAACATTTATTCAGTATTAGTTTATGTAGTGAATCACGTCAAGACCAGATTTAACGGCGTATTGCACCACTCCGTTGCTTGTAGTTGCCTAGGGGGCTATTCAAGTAGGCCACAACTCTATGGTATTGTAACACCTGCAGTGTTAGATACATCTCGCATCAAAAGCATTTTGTGCCTCGCATGAACGATGTTTCAGCAGTTTGTACTCTTAGGAAGCAGAAGCATCATAAACTGTTCTTTCACCAGAGTATGTCAAATGACCAGATTTTACGCATATTTGACCTCCCCTTGCCCCATATTTCACGGAGCAATGCCCTGCTTAATCCCCCCAGACTATTATAAGTAATGGGTCAGCGCAGTACGCTGTGATGTCTGGTCTTGGAGAAGTCATCCGTTATTTGACGTACTCAAATGTACAGACAGCTTCTGATGTTTATGCAGTGCTTGTTTATATCTAGCATAATTTTTCATTTATATTCTGATTATGTATTTTGCCATTTTAGCCGTTCATAATGTCAAAGAAGAAGAACCAGAGCCGGAACCGCCAGAACCTTTTGAATATGTTTAACCCCGTTGTTCGTTAAAAACCTTTTGCAGTTGTCATTTATTGTCACTTTAAATCAAGCGAGTCACTTGTGAATTGTTTCTAATTGCTGCTAGATTAGGCACCGTTTTACGGCGGTTGTGTTAACGTTATATCTGAGTGGAACACAATATTCATCACCATCGACGAAGGACAAGTAACTGTGATATTCCGTTGGGTAAATGTAACAATACGAAGTACATGAGAGGTGATGCAATTACATTGAATTTCATGTCTTGACCGTCCAGTTTGCGAGGGACGTATCTCCATGCTTTGATGCTAACATGTAAAGCATGTTCCCGCTCTTCCATCTTTCTAGAGCAGCCAGAGACCTGAAGACGGTCATATTTCGTATACTCAGGGCGCTATGTCAGCAGTAATCGAGTAGGACCAACAGGCTTACTTCAGTTTAAGTTTTCCTGCGTGTACGTTTTACCTTCACTGATTCTGGCATTGCAGTAAGCCTAACTATCTTATTGCTAAAAAGTGGATAGGTTCTATTACAGCTAAGATTACTTGGCAGATGTTCCTCATTGTTCGTTGCGAAGGTTTACTGACTTATTGTTTAAATCCAGTCTTGTATGCTCGAGACAATGACGCTGTTCTAGCAAATGAAATGCATTTCACCGAACCATGGTACCATTCGCATTAAACCCCGAAGAAAGCGCAAGAAAATGTTTCACGCCGTTTTGCCTACCTTTAGAACGGAATGGCTAGAAATTGCAATCTTCTTGTTATGGACTGTAATGGCCTAGAATTCCGGTAGACTGGCCTTTAAAATCTGCATATTTATCAGGATTGCTCTGAATGATTGCTGTTTTCTAGTGTAATATATTTATTTAACATATTCCAGTCAGTGGAAAATACCGTTCAAAGTTAAAACAATTTTTGCTTCGATAATTTTTGGTGAAGCGTTCAGAACCCAAACTGGCGTTCCTTTGCAAACGGACAGCTTTGAAAATTGTACGATGAAAAGGGATGATTTCAAACTATTCTGACAGTTCTGTCACGGCAAGCAGAGATTTCACTTAGGCTTTGAAATGATTTTTTTTAGTGGTTTATACAAGTATTAGCAAGTTTTGTATTGAATACATGGCTAGTACTTCGTCACAGCTTCGCTTGTTTAAGAATGTATACCATATAACTACAAATCTTCGTAGCTATTCTGGCAGGCCAGATTTCAACTGATCTTTGGATCGTGCCGCCGTTCAATGGCAAAAATATTAGTGTATAAATCATTCGGGTTCGTTACTTCAACTGATTATTCAATCGAAAGCAAGAAGAGACCCGAAAAATTAGGTGACAATCGAAGAAACGTGAAGTTCTGTCTCCTAATCAATCGATGCGACAGACTGTCATTCACCACCCTACTGTTTTAACCGCAGTACCTGGATGGTCAAGCGATTTCGTGCAAGGCACATTTCCGGTTGACATTTTTCGGCACTGTACACAAATCACATGAAACAGTGAAAACACAAGCATAGCGTAACAGTATTTTGACGCTGCGAATTAACGCTTCGTGTTTTTGAAAACGGGCCAGACCAAGCACCTGTAGAGCGGCACCGCGAATCACTACGATGGCCAGTACTTTCAAACCAACCCGGATGGCATGGCATGACTAACCGAGCGTGATTCAAGTAAGCGCATGACAAAAGCAGCAAAACGGCGTGACGGCAACGGTTCGACCCTCAACTCATCGATTCAGTTCGACTAGACGGCTCATCATTCGTCAATTCGAGTCTAGCAAAGAGTCAAGCATCGTTACGTCACTGCTGTCCGACTCGGACATGCATTTCTGTCGGACGGCATCGTCAAATATCATCTCTTGGCAACTGTCATCCGATGTCGAGGTGCACGGCTTCTTTTCATCGAATACCGGACGTGTGTCATCCAGCGGACCAACGACGGAGTTCAAAGAGCCGTTCGAACGCCTGCAACAAAACTTTGGTCAGTTTACGTTCAGAGACGCCATTGGAACCTGAGGCGCAACCGCAAATTGCCGTCAAGTCAAAACAAGTTACATCAACAGCGGCTAACGGAACAAGGCAACGTATCTTTCAAGGGTACAGTCGGTTTTGTAGGTACTGTACCCACTCGAAATGTAAAGGTACATGCAGCTTAACTGAAAAAAGAAATGACGAGAGAATCGATATAAGGCAAGTATTCAAATTTCAGCGGTCGTGCTCGACTATTCCAACAAATGTTTTAGTCCAGTCTCAGATAACATTGCTGAAAAAACTACACAAAAATCATGCTTTTTGATTTTTCAAAACGAAGCAGGGCGGTTAAAAAGAATTGCTAGTAAGGACATTTGCTTTCTTTCTGCCAACCAATGATTTTCTCTATTTTCTGTTTCAAAGCAGCGCTAGTTTCAAAAAAAGACAAAGCAAAATTCTAGAATGAAAGTTCAGTTCAAAATATCGGAACCGATGTACCGCTGACCCAAAATATGCCGATGATATTTTGTTATGTGCCGGAACCGGAATTCGCCACCTAACAGTTTCTGTAGCTACGGCAGTGAACACAGGTTTCCTCCTAATAAATATTCAGAGATCAAAATTTATGAAGAACCCTTGGACACAAGTCTGCAACCGCAACAGGGAAGAGCAACCATAGAAGAGACTGCGAATTTTAAGTATCTCTGTTCCATCAACTTTACCAACGGTACGACACAAGTAAAGATAAACGGTAAAATCGCCCTTTCAGTTTCAGTGCATTCGAGAGTGTCTGTTGCATGTTTTGCATGAGAAAAGAACATTCGTGTTCACAATAGCCTGCCTACGCCTAGATTTCGTCTGGTTAATGTTGCTAATCGGCACAAAGGCCCTCTACTGAAAAACAGACATACGTTCTAGCCACTGTCAGCTTTGAAGCACAAGAAAACTTGACTGGTAGGTCATGTGCAAAATGACTATGCGCTCAGCGACCAAAGGCCACAACTGATGAATCCAAATACCTCGGCTCAGAATGGACGACGAACTAAAAGAAAGGTATGGAAGCCTGTGGCGGTAAATCACAAGCGGCCGACAAGTCCAATTATCCTGATTGGGCCCGAATAATTTCCGCTAACAACGATAAATATCCAGAAAATTGCCTTTACAACATGTCTTTGCACATGACCATCCCTTGTCAATTGACCCTACGTTCGGAATTTTATTCAGGAAATATGAGAAAATCAATATTTCTTTCGGGATACACATGGACGATGCACCGTAGCACTTGCTCTAGGGTGTGCAATCGGTATTTTTCTCGAACAGGTATGAATAGAATATATTCATCTTCCGCCATCACTGTTTTGATCATCATTTGCCGAAAGATCACGTGCGTCTACGACGGGCCTCTATCGCTACCACATGCGACAGTAAAACCGCGCTTTTTGCCTAAATACGAAATCTTTTCTCGCTGCGCGTGCTCTACGACATTCACAGTAACTGGACTTACAGGAAAAGAGAAAACACGTTTGTGGTTTATAGCATGTCGGTCACTTGTACATATCCACGATAAGCGGTGCTGTAACAGCCTCTTTCTATGGAGCTACTGACGAAAGGCTAGAACAATACAATCAGCTAGGACTTCTACACCCATGTTGTTTAAAAGGCAATGTCTGCAGCTAGTGAACTACAGTACACACAACCATCGCAAGTTTCCTGCTCACTTTCCGCTTGGTGATAGTTATTCATTTATTTTAAAAGGACAAACGGCAAGTGGTCTGACTGAGATTCGAAGTCACGAATTTTAGAATGTGAATCTGGCATTCTATAAACCATGCGAGATCATCGTCCCTAACTTTGAACTTACAGAGTTGAAATACGACCGAAAGTAGCCAAAACAGTAGGAGGTCGAGCTGTTTATTACGTACACACGAACATGATGAGTTGGTGAAACAAATACTAAAACCAATACGAAAGACATAGTCGTAACATACCTATGCCTAAATCGATTGTAACCAAACAATGGCTCCCACACTCCGTCTTCTGACGACGAAAATACGCCGTTCCAGCTAGGTCTCTTGGGGGCCGAAACCGTACAAGCCGAATCGCTGTCATCTAAATTCACAAAAGCCATCAACGTGCACGTCCTGCACAACCTCGTATGTTTACATTTTCGCTTGAAGCCATGTTGTACGGCTATCGGGCTGAGACTTCTACAATCATAACGGTTCACAAAAGAAAAAACCAACGAGGCAGAAAGCGTACCTGAAGTAGCACCGTTTCGGCGGACTCGAGTTTGGGCAGGGCGACAGAGCAATGCTCTTCACGACCTGCTGCATGGACGGAGAAAAGCACTGCTACAACAAGCAACAGTAGAAATTAGCTATCAACGTATCGGCTGTTCAATGTCACCGCAGGTAATACTGCACTGATGCACTACCCATTACAGTTTCCTCCAC